CACCGCCGCCCGCGCCGATCTTGAAGGCCATCTCCTACTCCAGGGAGGTGGCCTGAACGGCCGCCTGGCCCCTTGCAGGCCAGTCTCGAGGGGGAGGGCGAGGAGGAGGAGGGGGAGGGAGGGGAGAGGGAAGGGCGTGAGGGGGAGGATGAGACGGATGGAGGAGGAAGAGGTGAAGGAGGAGGAGGAGGAGGAGGAGGAAAATGAAGATGAAGAGGATGCGGAAGAGGATGTGGAGGCGGAGGAGGATGACGAGGAGGAGGAGGAGGAGGAGGAGGAGGAGGAGGAAAAGGCGGAGGAAGAGGAGGGCGAGGAAACGGAATGAATAATAAAACAGGAAGAGGAGGAGGGGCGTGAGAGTACGGAAGATTGACGAACGGAGGAAGGAGGGATGAGGAGGTGGATTGGAATCAGTGCGATGGATGCGGGAATGAGGTGGAGGGACAGAGGTCGAGGGTGAAGGAGAAGGACAGCAGGGAGAAGGGAGAGGAGGAGGAGGAGGAGTAGGAAGAGAAGGAGGATGAGGACGGACGAGGGAGGGGGGCAGGAGAGGAAGGAGGGAGAATGGAGGAGAGAAGAGGACAATGGAAATGAAGTGAAAGGAGAAGGAGGAGTGAGAAATGGTACCAGCAAAAAGGAGGATGGAGTCCGAGAGGGAGGCAGAGGTAGAGGCGTGAAAGGCATGATGATGCAGGAGGGATGGAGGGAACACTCGGCCTCGCTGTCGGGTGCCCATCGCCAATCTGTCGGCGATGGACCGCCGATTCGAGCTCGAGGCCCCCCCCCGAGCCCCCTCACCCTCAAACGTTGCCCGTCGCCCCCTCCCCCTGCCTCCCCCGCCCCCTCCCTTCGCTGGCGTTGCCCCTCGCCCCCTGCCTCCCCCCGAAGACCCTGCCCCTCGCCCCTGCTCGTCACCGCCATCGCCCCCTCCTCCCCCCTCCTCCCCTCCTCCCCTCCTCCTCCCTCCTCTCCTCCTCCTCTCCTCCTTCCTCCCCTCTCCTTCGTTCCTCCTTCTCCTCCTCCTCCCTCCTCCTCTCCTCCTCTTCTCTTCTCTCTCTCCTCCTCGATCTCCTCCTCCTCCTCCTCCTCCCTCCTCCCCTCTCCTCCTCCTCCCCTCCTTTCCCTCCTCCTCCTCCTCCTCTTCCTCCTCGTCCTCCTCCTCATCGCCCGCCGCCCCCCCCCCTCCGCTCAGGGCTGGACGACAACACCTCCATTCTGGAGACGGACGCCCAGGAGCGGCCGTTTGCGGTGTGACCGAGACGGGCACCCAGACCCCCTCGAGCCATGACAGCAATCACGACGGAGGGCTGTTCTCTAACCTTTCGGCCTTCGGGGGCCCCCACCGGGCCTCGGGAGCGTCAAAGAACCACTAAGCTTAACTTAAAACGGTCCAGGGGAATGGGTCCACTCCTCTGGGGAACGAGGTATTGAGCAAATGCGGAAAACAAGGAGGAGGAGGAGGAGGAGGAGGAGGAAGAGGAGGAGGAGGAGGAGGAGGAGGAGGAGGAGGAGGGAAGGCTTGGGGGCGAGGGCAGGCACAACCCAGACATGAAGCATCCTGCAACAAGAAGGGCCCAGGTGTCTCTCAGGTTTCGGCCTCCGGGGGCCCTTACTGGGCCCCGGGACCGTCAACAAGCGACTCGGGATCAACCATTGGTTCTGGGGAACTAGTCAGGCCCTGATCGTTTTCCTGTGCATTGTCGTGCCGACCGATCGGCGCGGGCCATCGCATCCCCTTTTCCCCCCCTATGGAGTAGATCTTGGCCGTTTTTGGCGCCTGTTCTCGAGCAGTTGGATTATGTCGGGCGTGTCCCCCCAAAGGGGGGATTTTCTACGAGAAATAGACAATACGCCAAAAATGCACCAAAAAGGTGAAACAAATACTCAAAAAAGAGTCCCCAGACTATTTTTGTATTTTTTTTTGGTTTTTTGGAGGGGTATTTGTTATTTTTCGTCGAGAATCTTCCTGTCGGGGGACAGGCCCGACTTACCAGTTGGAGTCTTCTCCATGAGCCGCGCTGGTGCAAGCAGTCGCACTCAGCCGAGGTCCAGAGCCAGGGCCCGCCCCCGCCCCCCCCATCTGCCGCCCAGTGTCGAAGCGCCGCATGAGAAGAACGTTCACGACCTCTGGAAGGCGGAGGAGGAGGAAGAGGAGGAGGGAGGAGGAGGAGGGGGGGGAGGAGGAGGAGGAGGAGGAGGAGGAGGAGGAGGAGGAGGAGGAGGAGGAGGAGGGAGGAGGAGGAGGAGGAGGAGGAGGAGGAGGAGGAGGGGAGGAGGAGGGGGAGGAGGAGGAGGAGGAGGGGGAGGAGGGGATGGGTGCCACGTGGAGCGTGCGCGAGACGGGCCGGCGCCTTCCCCCGGGCCAGCTCCTGCTGCGCCGCCAGTCGGGAGGTCGACTTCGGGGGAACCATCTTGCAGGAGACGGGGAAGTCAGGAGGCCAGGATGGAGGGGGACGGGATCGGGGGTCGGAGGGGGCACGGGCGAAGAGCGGAGGGATGGGGGCGAGCAGGAGCGGAGTAGGGGAGGGCGAGAGGACGGGACGGCGATGGGGCCAAGGGGGGGAGGGATTCGAGGGATTGGTTGAGAGAGAAGGGAGGACGCGTGTGGCAACAATCTGGAGGTCGCATGGCTTGGGAGTTCCCGCCAGTCCTGGCCCACCTGCTGGCGGCCGCAAGGATTATCGCGCTTCGCGCGCCGCGGTTCGAGCCCCTCTCCATCAGCGAGCGTCTCCTGGCGTCGAAGCGTCTGGCGAAAGGCGTTTCCCCAGGGATGTGTGTTACGCAGATGTTGCTTTGTCCAGAGAAGGCCCTGGAGTCCAGGACCCGCTTCCCTCAGGACCCGCTCTCTTCGTTTTAAAAAGCAATGGACATGTCGCGCCGCGGAGCTAAACACGCCGCCTCATAGCTGGACGTCGGCTTCATGCTGTTCAGCGTGTTCTGCATCGGTTCCGTCCGGGGAGGATCTTTCTATGCTCGCCCCGACCTCAGGGGGAGGGGGAAGGACTCCTCCTCCATGTCCTGCCTCTCCTCCTTCTCCTCCTCCTTCTCCTCCTCCTCCTCGGCGCCCTCCTCCTGTGGGGGAGAGGGGGGAAGAGGGCGGCGGAGCGGAGGAGCGGGACGAGAGGAGGGGGGGGGACTGGTGAGGGGCGGTGCGACGCGAGGGGGAGAGGGGGGGAGGGGGAATGGATGATGCGAGTCAGGCGATCGCAAACATGGATCAATGGGGGCGTGGATTAGCGACGGGTCCCGTTTCCATGGGACATCGCGGACTTCCGCCGCCGAGCGAGGCAGTACCGGCCGCATTTTGGGGAGGGCACTCCTCCCCCTATCCATGGATTTGGCGACCGCGCGCCAAATCCATGGATCGCTAATCCGTGCTTGCGCGCCCCCGAGTGAGGGTGCGCCGAGGCCCCGCCTCTCCGCGGCCTCGCCACAGCGGCGCGTCTCGCCGCAGCCGGCCGTGTTTTTGGGGCCTCCGGCCCAGGCTGAGCTGCCCGCGCGCCCCGTTCTGAGCAGCCCGGCCGGTCTAAGAGTTTCAAGGGGCGACCCGCTATGCTCGGGTCGGGCGAAAGGGGGGGATTGGGAAAGGGGGGGTACGGAATTTGCTGCATGCAGCTGGTTTCGGCCTCACCGAGGGGCCTATCCCTCGATACATGGCCACCTCCGGCGCCGGGAGGCGCCGGGAAAATCAGCTGCGTGAGCTGATTCTCAAACCCCCCCTTTGCTATCCCCCCCTTTCGCCCGACCCGATATGCACCCCTGGCCTCCCTGAAAGCAGCTTCGTGGACGGCCAGGGAGAGTTCCTTTCCTCCGCTTCCGCTTTGTCCGTGCTCCCACGGAGGCCGTGCCATGTTGGTCCCACGGTCGTCGGGGGCGGCAGAGAGGGGGGGGATGACCAGGGGGGGGTGGATATCCAGGCGCGGGCCATGCTATTTCCCCAGATCTCATGGCGCCTCTTCTTGTTTCATTACGTCCCTGGCCCCCCCGCTGGGCCGCGCACATGCCGCCGGTCATGATTTGCACCCCCCCCTCTTGGACACCCCCCTCTTGGCCGCTCCCGAAGTCGGTGGGGCAGGCCTACTGAGACGGGATCCAGGGACCCTCCACAGCTGAACATGACAGCCATTTGCGCCCTCGGCATCGAAAGCACACACACATGTCAAAGATACACCACACGGCACACCCTGATACTCGATGCGGCCCTTTCTCACTATTCGGGGAGTGCAATGCGCTGGTGCTGTAGTGAAAAACGCCTCCCCAGTCAGACAGTAGAAGCCGGCCCCACGCAGTCTCGCAAGGCAAGACGCTGGATCCGAAGCCGGCCCCTTGCTGCCAAGCGGCCCGCCGACTCTGAAGATCTCAACCGTGACCCCTCTTCGAAAAGAGGGCGAACTCCACACGCACGAGGCGGACGCCCTTGCACGTGCTGGATCGGGCCGGCCGAAAGGCGGGCATTGGGAAAAAATTGGCTGCAGGTAGCTGGTTTCGGCCCCACCGAGGGGCCCATTCCTCGATACATCGCCGCCTCGGGCGCTGGGAGGCGCCGGGAAAATCAGCTACGCGAGCTGATTCTCGAACCCTCTTTGGCTATCCCCCCCTTTCGCCCGGCCCGACTGGAGCGTCAACAGCTCCTCCGCGAGACGCTTTCTCCTGGTCCTTGGCCGGCGGCGCCTCGGGCGGCCGTGCCGTCGAGCTCCTCTCCTTCCCAGGGTTGTCGTGCGCAGTGGTGGCCCCCGCGCGTGCCCTCACTGGAAGGAGTACCCGGAGGAGGAGGAGGAGGAGGAGGAGGAGGAGGAGGAGGAGGTCCGTAGCCATTTTGGCTCAAGGCGTTCTGGGCTCTCCCAGGTGGGGGGGTCTTGTGCGTACATACTTCAGAGCGCCGTGTGCGCACGAGCACTGGCAACGATTACCAGACTTCTCGCCATTCCTTTGCCTCCGCAACCCTCTTGGCTCACGCAATGGGCACCAGGCCGCGCGGCCACGGCGGGGCGGCGGCGCAGGGCGGCGGCGGCACCGTGCTCCCGGGGCCCAAGACCCCAGCCTGGGGCTGCCGCTGTGGCGAGGCGGCCAATTGGGCATCGCGGCTCCACTGCAGGAGCTGCGGGGGCCCCGCGCCTGTCTCCGTTCGGCAGCGGGCAGTGGAGGCGGCGGCAGGCCCGTCCCCGTCCGCGGCGCGGCCGCCCAGGGCAGTGGCGCCCAAGGCCAAGGCGGGCGCCAAGGCCAGCGCCGAGACGGAGCCCAAGCAGTCGGCGGCGGCCGCGGAGGCGCCCTGGGTGCACGGCGGCGGCAAGCCCCGGCGGGTGCGGTTCCGCGAGGCGGAGGTCGTCGAGATCAGGGAGGACGACGAGGCCGACCAGCTGGCAGCAGCGCTGCGGCTGCTGGAGGAGCGCGGAGTCCAGCTTGATGAGGAGGCGCAGAAGAAGCTGGGAGTCGGCAGGCAGGCCGACCCAAGCAAGGCAGGCCCAGAGGCGCCCAAGTCGCACCACGCCACGGTGCAGAGCGCCATGTGGAAGGTCAAAAACACGGCGGGCAAGCTCGAGAGGTCTCAGCAGAACTTGGAGGCCGCACAGGAGGCGTTGGCGGACGCCCAGCTGGCGGTGGACAAGGCCACGGAGGCCAAGGAGGCCGCAGCCAAGGCCCACGCCCAGGCGCAGGACCTGCTCGAGCGCGCCAGGAGGGTGGAGCAGGCGGGCCTCCCGCCCGAGGCACAGCTCGACCAGCGCGCGCAGGACGTCGACAGGCTGGCCCAAGCCACCCTCGGAGCGAGGTACGCCGCCGAGCTCAAGGACCATTTCGAGGGCGAGGAGGCCGTCCAGGTTACCCAGGCCATCGAGCTCTTCTCAAAGCTCGCCGCCGCGAGCAAGGCCCGCATTGAGGCGGCCAAGCGGGCGGCGGAGGCCCCACCCGCTGGGGCGCCTGCTGCTGCTGCTGCTCCTGCTGGGCGCCCTCCCGACCGCGAGGGCGGGTCACCAGCAGCCGCGGGAGGGGACGCAATGCAGGAGGAGGGCGACGACTTCGACGCCAGAGTGGAGGCCCTCGATGGGGCCAAACGAGCCGAGGTCGAGCGTTTCCTCGAGTCGCACGGCTGCTCCTTGCCCAAGCGCCTGCGCCTCCCAGCGGGCTCCGCTGCAGGCAAAGGCGCGGCCGAGGCAGCAGAGAAGAGCGAGGACCAGGCCCGCTGAGGCGCCCGAGGGCGCGGAGGCGGCAGCTGCGAACCGCGGGGCCAGGGCGCCCCGCGAGGGCTCACTCTGGAGGCTGGTCTCTGCCAACACGACCTCCAGGGCGAGCATGCGACGCTGGCTGCAGGAAGAGGCGCAGGGCGACATCCTCTTCGCGCAGGAGACGGGCGTGGCGCCAGGAGCGAGGGCGGAGGTCGAGCAGGCCGTCCGACGGGACGGATGGAAGGCCTCCTTTACAGAGGCCCGCCGCACGGAGCGAGGGGGGCTTTCCAGCGGGGTCGGCATCGTGTGCAGGGCCCACCTGGGCATGGGCAAGCCGCCTGCGGGGCCCTCGCTGCCCCCCGACAGGATGGTGGCCCGCTGGGTGAACGCCATCGTCCCAGGAGGATTCCTGGCGGTCTCGGTCTATCTGGTGGCGACCACCAGCGGCCTGGACCCCGAGAGCAGGGTGCTGCTCGCGCAGCTGGGACAGTATCTCGAGGCGGTGCAGGCCCCGTGCATCATCGGCGGCGACTGGAACTGCGCGCCGCAGGAGCTCGAAAGATGGGGCTGGCCAGATCGGGTCTCGGGCTTCGTGGCGAGCTCGGGGCAGACCACCTGCAGAATAGGAGGAGGCACAGAGATCGACTTCTTCGTGGTCTCCAGCAACATGGGCGCAGCCGTGAAGAAGGTCTCGCGTCTGGACGCAGCCCTGAGCCCGCACTACCCAGTGCAGCTGACGCTGGACGGCAAAAAGGAGCCGGAGAGAGCGCTGCGGCATCGGGCACCAAGGCCCTTCCCCACCGAGCGACCCGTGGGGCCGAGGCGGGAGCCGCCGTGCTGGACAGGCTTGCTTTCGGAGCTGGCGGACGCCATCGCGGCGGTCGCACCTGGCAGCGCCGCAGGCAGCCAGGGCCCGTCAGAGGATGGCCCCGAGCCTGCCAGGGAGGCCGACGACGCCGCCCCTGGAGGGGCTCCCGAGAACGTCGAGGGCGCCGTGCTGGACGAGTCCTTCAACCAGGGAGGCGGCGAGAGGCGCGATCCTGGGGGGCCAGTCCCGTCGGGAGCGGCCCCCCAGGATCCAAGTCCTGGGACTGGCAGTTGGGGGCAGCCTGCGATAAATTGCCCTGCTCGTGCGGCGAGCTCCGACGGCCATGAGACATTGCCGAGCGGTCTAGGGCCACCCGTCCTGCTGCCACCGTCAGCGTCGGCCGAGGCGCTGCGAGGAGTTCGCGCGTGCTACGACGAGGACTGGACAGCGGTCGTCCATTCCCTGAAGGGCGACGTGCTGGACTTGCCCCCGTGCGCCGCCACGGAGAGCGAGACTGAGCCTGCAGGGTAGGTCAGCGGCGCAGGCCAGAGGCACTCTGACGAGGAGGCGGTCGAGTGCGTGGCCAAGGTCGAGCGGCTAGACCCTGCTGCGGGGCTCGAGGCCCCGCGGGCCACGGGCAGCTGGCCTCGGACGCTGGACGAGCTCTACGCCAGCTTCGCGGCGCTGCTGGAGGAGGACTTGGGCGGCTTGTTCGACATGGAGCAGGAGGACCTGATGAAGTGCGCGGGCCGCGGCGAGTCCGCCCGCTTCCAGGAGGGCACCATCAGCGCCAGCAGGCGGGGGACACGCGCCCGCGGCTCCCCGCAGGCGCGCACCTGGCACAGGATCGCGGCGCTGCTTTGGGAGATGCTGGCCAGCAGGCGCCGCTTGCGGGCGCCGCACCTCGTCTCGAGGGAGCTGGACGTGCTGGCGCGGCTGCAGGCCAAGATAGGCAAGCTGGCTGCGCAGGACCTGGTTGGCGACATCGGCCTTAATGAGGCCCAGAAGAGGGACAGACAGAGGGACGTGGCGCGGCAGCTGCGGGCGACGAGCCACATGACGTACGGACAGCTGAAGTCCCTGGAGGCCTACGCCAGGCAGGCCGCCAAGGCCTTCGACTTGAGGGATGCCAAGGGCCGCGCCAAGGCCTGGAGGGAGTGGTCCCAGGAGGCAGTGCGCGGGGGCGCGGGGGCCGCCCACGGCTTTTGCAGGGCCCCGCGGGGCTGGACGGCGGACGTGGAAACCAGCGGACGGCCTGCAGGCATCGCTGGTACGTTGGAAGCGCTGAAGACGGAGTACCAGCAGGTTTGGCGGCACCAGGAAGAGGACTTCGACCTGGAGGCGGTGCTCCCCGACGAGCTCCTGGACGGGGCCCCTGGCCCGCCTGCGCCCGACGCCATCCGAGCGGCGGCGAGGTCTTTCAAGGCCGAGACGGCGACGGGGGTGGACAGCCTCAAGCCGCACCACTTCGGCTGGCTCTCCGACCACGGAATCCTCGCGCTCAGCCTGCTGTTCCACCTTATCGAGCTGCGGGCGGATTTCCCGTCGCAGGTGGCGGAGGTCTTCATTTTCTTTTTGGCCAAGCCCGATGGGGGCTGGCGACCCATCGGCCTGATCGCCTCCCTGATCCGCCTGCAGGACAAGATCAGGCACGACGAGGCGAAGCGCTGGGAGGCCGCCAAGGACAGACCCTACTTCTTCGGCGGGGCTGGCAGGTCCTGCGAGGACGCGGTCTGGCTGCAGAGCTTCGACGCGGACCACGCGAAGGCGCTGAACTTGGAGGCCGCTTCCGCGCTCCTGGACCTCAGCAAGGCCTACGAGAGGGTCACGCACAGGGGGATGGTCCACGCCGCGGTGAGGGAGGGCTTCCCGCTGAGGAGGGTCAAGATCCTCCTTCGCCTCTACGGGGGCAGGAGGCGCCTATGCCTGGACCGCTGGATGACGGAGGCATTCCAGGTTTTCCTGTCACTGCTGGCGGGTTGCTCCTTCGCCACGACGCTGCTCCGCGTGGTGCTGGTCGAGCCTTTGGACGCGATGCTGGCGGCCTGGCAGAGGGTGCGTCCATACTTAGTGGTCGACGACATCACGGTGGCGGTCTACGCCAAGCGAGCGCAGCTGGAGCACCTTTTGGTCGGGGGCCACCCGCGCCCTCTGCTTGGACCTGGAGGCCATCGGCTTCATCATCTCCTTGACGAAGGGCCAGGTTCTGTGCACCGACTCCGACATCGCCAAGCGGGTCGCCCACAGGCTCAGACGATGGAGGTTCACACATGTGAAGGCCACGAAGAACCTCGGCGTGGACTTCACTATGGCGAGGTCGGCCTCGTGGAGGGTGCTACGGCAGAGGATCGATCGCCTGAGCCAGAGGGCTGGGCGGTGCAGGGCCTTGCGCAAGGCGGGGGCCAAGAGGCTCTCCAAGGTTTTCAGGACAGGAGGGCTGGCGTCCATCCTCCACGGAGCGAGGGTCAGTGGAGTACCCACGAAGACCCTGCAGCGCGCCCGAGCAATCAACGGCAGGGCCATCTCGGGCGAGATCGGCCAGAGATCCAGGACGGTCGTCTTCGCCCTGCAGGAGGGCAAGGACTGGAAGCACGACCCCGCCTACGCGGCGCACGTTCTACCGCTGAGGGCTTGGGCGCGAGCCGTCTTCCTGGGCGCGCGGCCCCCTGCGGTCTTCAAGCAGGTGCTGGAGCGCAGACCAGACGACTGGGGCGAGGTCACTGGGCCAGCAGGGGCGGTCCGCCTCTCGCTGGAGCGCATCGGCTGGGAGCTGCTGAATTGGCACTGCTGGAGGGACGACCGCGGGCAGATCATCGACTTGCAGCTGCTCAGCCCGCGGATGGTGGCCAGCCTGGTCGAGAATGGGGTCCACCGTCACCTCATGCTGAAGATTGCGAGCCACGAGGGGTTCGAACATCTCCAGGGCCGCCCGCCGAGCCTGGAGCCATTTAGGGCGGCATTGGCGGGCATGCGGCGTGCAGGCAAGGTGCAGGAGGCAGCGCTGGTAGAGGCACATATGGCAGGAGGGCTCGTCACGCAGTTCGACCTGTACGTTGAGAGGGCAGAGCTCAGCCCGCCGTGCCAGTGGTGCGGAGAGGCACCAGGCACGGCGCACCACAGGCTGTTCGCATGCCCCGCCATCGCATGCTGGGCGCGCGACCTGGGTTTCCAGGAGATCGCCGACGCAGGCAGGAGGGCGCCGCAGGACGACCTGGGCCTGGTCAGGGGCCTCGTCAACCTCGGGCTGGACCAAGCCCCGCCTCCTGGCATGGACGAGCTCTGCCATCGCGCAGGCAGCGCGCGGCACGGCCTCCTCGAAGGTGTCATCTGCATCGACGGGTCCGCGATGTACCCCGAGGCCCCGTGCCTGACGCGCACGGGATGGGCAGCCGTGGCGGTAGACGACGTCGGGAACACCGTCGGCGGCCTCCTCGGGCTCACGCCAGGCTGGATCCAGGAGATCGGCTATGCTGAGCTCTACGCGCTGCGCAAAGTTTTGGAGGAGGTCGGCCCATCGCCCATCACGGTCTACACGGACTGCAAGGGGATCAAAGACGACTTCGAGGCGGGCCGTGAACGCTGCTGCGGCCCAGGCCACAAGTATGCGGACCTGTGGAGACGGATCTGGCAGCGGCTCGACGACCTCGGCCCTGGCTTCCTCACGTTGACGTGGCTGCCGTCGCACACTTCGTGGGCCAGGGCCTGCGTGGCAGGCGTGCCATGGCAGGCATACGCGGGCAACAGGGAGGCAGACCTGAGGGCGAAGGAGGGCGCCAGGCTCCACCCCAGGCAGGAGCAGCTGAGTGAGCTGAGCCGCCGCCTGGACGCCGCCGCCGTGCAAGCAGTGGCCTGGTGCGGCCACCACGGGGGGATCCTGAAAAGGCTCGCCGACCTCGGATGGCCTGACCGCGGGGCCCTCCCTAGGCCCAGGGGCTCGGATCCTGGGACCCTGACCCTGGTTGGGCCCGACGGGGGCCACGTCCTGGCCAGGCTTGGTCGTGCCTGGGGCTGTTCGGTCTGCGGGGTCCGGCGTGCGGCCAGGGCCAGGGTTGTCGCCAGCGCCTGTCCAGGACTCCCGTGGTTGGTCGCCAGGTCCCACCCGTCCCACAGGCTCTGGGTGATTCGGGGTGGGGACGGGCCGTGTCGGAGATCCTTTGGGACGGGTGGCTGCATCGTGTTTTGTCGAACATGCGGGGCCCACGGG